CCCCCCCCCCCGCCCTCTTTAACCATAGAAAAACACCAAGAAAGATGATGACAAACAGAGTTCTTAAAGCAGATGAAAGCAGTCTTTTCTAGTAGGTAAATAAAGGCATATCATCAAAATTACATTTAGTAAGTCTGTAGTACATCACATTTAATCATATTCAGAGGGCAGCTGACATTTACTGAGCACTAACTATGAGTCAGGCACATTCCCTCTTCACAGCTGCTCTGTGAGCTAGGTGTTATCAGGGCCAGGTCCAGGGGTGTGTGGCCAGTACAGTTACACAGAACCCCCCACTCAGAAGGGTGCCCCTCAGTGGGATTTAATGTTCTGTGGTTGCCATCTTGAATTTCACAATAATTTGATTTTTGAATTTGTGTTTTGTAAATGAAGTCCATGAAACAATGAAGCATGCACTGGGGACCTGGGGTCTCAGCTCACAGGTCATTCTATCTCTCATCACCTCCCCTCTTCCTCTCCCCAAAATGGGTTCTCGTCTACCTGTTTCCCTGTCCTTCTTCTGTCCCAGGCAGGGGCCTGGATGCAGGGAGGGGATGCACACCAAGCCAGAGGCAGGGTCCCAGACCCCTGTGATTATCCCCATGCCCAAGGGAGTATACTATTCATTAGTGAATCATAAACAGCACGACAGGCTGAGTAAGGAATAACAGAGGAAAGAAAAATAGTTTTCTGCTTTTTCACAAAGGACCTTGCATTTTCATTTGCATTGGGCCCCACAAATTATGTAGCCAGTCCTGCAGAGAGGGCAGGATCTGGCTGACCAGAAGTCATTGCAGTTGGCCGATGCATCTGTGGCCTGCCTCACTCCTGTGGTTTCCTCAGCCCCTGGCTCCCTGTTGTAGTAGAGTGGCCAGTAAGATAGAAGAACTCATTTAAACCTTTTAATCAACATTGATTAAGTTAAATGTAAATTTAAATTGCCATATATAGCTAGTGGCTACTGTATTGGAGTGCACAGCTCCAGAATCAAAAGGAGACAATAAAAGCACTAACTGCACCATAATTTGGGGCTTCAGAAGCACTTTCTCAGGCATCTTCTCATTTGTCTGTCCAGTGAAACAGATGTTATCGCCATTTTTCAGAGGGAAAACTGAAGCTCAGAAAATTTAATTGGCTTCCATGCTGACAGAGATAATATTAGAATCATAATTTAATCCCAGCTCTGGTGATTCCAACTCCACTCATACTTCTGTACAACTCTGCCAACTTATGTAAGTATCTATCACATATTTATCAGATCATTGTTACTAAATGCCTGCCTCTGGGGTAGACACAGAAAGATAAATAAGACACACCGGCTTTGTCTCCCTGAACAAACACAGTGCAAATGGCACAATAAGAATGATCACGTAATTGCCATAAAAGAATTACTTTAAGCCCAGCCTGCATGGCTCAGCGGTTGAGCATCAACCTATGAACCAGGAGGTCACAGTTCAATTCCTGGTCAGGGCACAAGCCAGGGTTGTGGGCTCGATCCTCAGTGTGGGGCGTGCAGGAGGCAACCAATCAATGATTTGCTCTCATCATTGATGTTTCTATCTCTCTCTCTCCCTCTCTCTTCTTCTCTGAAATCAATAAAAATATATTTTAAAAAAAGATTACTTTAAGTTACTTTCTTCCAAATAGTTCAAAGCTCTTTGCTTTAAATACCATCTTATACTCTCAGGTTTATATTTCTGGCCCCAACCTCTGCCCCAAATTCTAAATGGATATACCAAAAAAGCCATTTGAATATTGAATTGGCTTCTCAAACTTGCCCCACACCTGCTCTTCACCATCTCAGTAAATGGCAATTCCCTTCTTCCAGTTGCCCCACCCCCAAAACTCTGGAGTCCTCCATTACTCCTCTTTCTTCACACCTTTCATCTAGACCATGAGTAAATATTATTAGCTCTAACTTCAAGAAGCATCCAGAATGCTCACCATCTCCATTATGGTCACCCTAGTCTATCACCATTCTCTATCAGGACTGGTTTCGTGGTCTCCTTTGTCCCTCCCCTTCTCCCAATTCTCTTTTCCACACAGTAGGCCAGAGTGATCTTTTAAAAATCTAAACCAAAGTACTCCTCCTTTCAGCTTAAAGCACCAATGTTTTCCCAAAGTCCACACCACCATACATAAGGCCCCTCACAATCTGGCCCTGATCTCATTTCCCATATCTCTCCTCTTTGATCTTCAGGTCCAGCCATACCAGGTTTTCCAGGTCACTCCTTCCTCCTGGCCATTGCATAGCTCATTCTTCCATTTCTTCCCAGTCTATAACCCAATGTCCCCTTATCACGGAGGCACTTCCCATCCCCTTATGTTTCAATTTTTTCATAACACTTATCACCTCCTGACATGTGATATGCATGTCTGTTGTTGCTCTCCTCCCACCAGAATAAAGCTGCAGGAATAGGATTGGCAGATAGATACAGGATACCAGTTAAATTTGGATTTCAGATAAAAAATTAAGTTTTCAGTATGAAGATGTCCCAGAAACTGTATGGAACATACACTAAAAAACTATTCATTGTTTATCTGAAATTCAAACTTTACTGGGTGCCCTGTATTTATTTTTAGGGGGACAGTAGTTGTTTTGCTTAACTCTGTATCTCCAGCGCCAGAACTGCTCGTGACACATGGTAATGTTTATGAAATGAATAACTGTGTTCAATCAGGTCAAAAACAGCCTGTGAGTCAGAGGTGCGTTGCCTCCAGGCTGAGTAAGTTCATAAGTTCAGTTCGATAAGCTTTTTAAAAAAACATTTTTATTGATTTCAGAGAGGAAGATAGAAACATCAATAATGAGAGAGAATTATTGATCTACTGCCTCCTACACACCCCCTACTAGGGATTGAGCCCACAACCTGGGCATGTGCTCGAACCCGGGATGCTTAAGCTCAACGGCCGATACTCGACCCACTGAACCAAACGGGCCAGGGTAGCTGATTAAAGTTTCTAAGCAACAAAATCTCAGACATATGCCGAAGCAATTTCTGCACTGATACAGATCCTAGGGCACTTGAAACTAAAGAGAAAATGAACAAATGGGACTACATCAAAATAAAAAGCTTCTGCACAGCAAAAGAAACCATCAACAAAACAACAAGAA